ATTTATATCTGATCATGTGTTTGACAGGTCTTCTTTGCTGGTTTCCTGTTTGTGGATTCGTCTGGATGTTTTCATACATGTTTTGTTTTTTTGTTTTTTTAGCAGTATGTCCTGTTTCGATAAGTTTAAAATGATCAATAGTGTTCAATAAAATCCTTGTTGCTCTCTCCAGAATTTTCCTCTCAAACAAATAAAACTAATGCTGGGGGACACTGTGCTGAGGCTTTTGGAGGGTGTGTTGAGACATCCATTGTCACGGTGGGGTGTGCTATGTATTTTTTAAATGTACCCAAGAGCAGACACTGCAGGAGACGCAGCTGGTTTGCAAATCAAAAGCGATCCTTTGTTAGGGCTGAATGAAGGCAAACAACAGGAACACTAAGGAGAAAAACAGAAGACTACAGCTAAACTGACTACAGGTTATGAACAACTATGAAACTATGAAGAAAATGACAACTATTATGTGGAATATGTGAGACCTTCAAGGCTTCATGAGGCTTCATCTGGGCATCACTACACAAAACAATTTTATAAATGCGTACATCCAACTCTGAGTAAATACTGTTTTTTTACTGGTAATTTATGCATAATACAGCTTCAGCTTCATGAATCAGATAATTTTCTCGTTCAAAAACAAAAACTACAGATAACATCCTCTCCAGATAAATAATCCTTAAATCTCCTGATACACACAGATCACGTTATATGCCCATGTTGGATTTTGAGACAAATTTTACGCTGCCAGCTTCATGTAGATCCACAAATGTTAAAAATTGTGAAAGTGGGACATGTGGGCTTCTTCTGTATTTCTTCATTTTTTGTTGGTTTTAAATAAATAAAATCTTTTGTTTCTTTGTCAAGTCTTCTGACTCTGCTGCTCTTTGATGATCCACTCACTACAGCACTGTACAACAGTTTTGATTGTGTTCTATCCATTCGCTTACGGTTGTCCTTTTCAGGGTCGTTGGGGGTGCTGAGGCCTTTACTAGCTGTCTTAGGGCAAGAGGCAGGGTACACCCTGAAAAGGTTGTCAGTCTGTCACATAGAGATAGACCAGCATTCACACCTTTAAGCAATTTAGAGTTTCCAATTAACCTATCTGACTGTTGGAGGACGCCAGAGTACCCATGCAAACACAAGGAGAACATGCAAACTCCCCACAGAAAGCCTCTGGCCTGATAGTGGAATGGAACCCAGGCCCTTCTTGCTGTTAAGCAACAGTGCTAACCACCTTGCAACCGGTGTTATTTTATATATTGCACTTTGTACTGCTAAAACAAGTCAAGTCTGACTGCAAAAATATGGACTTTTTTGTTGTTTGAACTTCAAGGGTATATGACCTGCATAGGTAATACTTTTAATGTTGGTGTACTGTGTAAATATATCGCAAGCAAAGACTATATACCATAAAGTATTTATTTCTCTGTATTATGTTCAAGAAATCAGCAGTAGAGAGATAAGTTCATGTCTAATTATATTTTACAATGCATGCATGTGCAGCAGATAACAATCTGTTTATTATGTCATTTATTTCTTGTAAGAGAACCACATCACT